TATGACTTGTTTTGCTGTACACAGTTTTTTCGAATTCCCTCCAATTTAGTTGGAAATGGCTGAATTTCATCCTTTCCTCTGGCTATGTAATATTCCATGGTTTGTATGTACCACATATTTTTTATCCATTCATCCACTAGAGGAGATTTAGGCTGCCTTCATGTCCTCCATATTGTAAATAATATTGCTGTGAATGTTGTCGAATATGTGGGGAATTCTGCCATGTTTCTAGTTCATAAGATATTGACATGCCAGAGAAATGGTAGTGGATAGGGTTGGGGGAAGGGTTGAGACAATGAAAGGGAAGGGAATTAACTGTTTCTCTTTAAAACAGAGTACCTACTATATAATGTATTCATTATTTGTCACCATCTCTAGAACATGAACTCCCTAAAGCAAAGACTTTTGTCTTGTATCCCAGTGCTTGATGTCTAGCATGTAGTTAGTGTTCAATACATTTTGAATGGATACATGAATGAATATATAACATGGCCATTGCCTTCATGAAGCTTACATTCTAAGGGGAGAGAACAGCAGCAAACATGCAAACACACATGTAATAACAGTCTGAGGTGTGTACTCTAATGGAAACAGATGGAGTGTTGTGATAAATAATGGTGGGGGAGAGTCCTACTTTAATTAAGGTAATCAGGGAAGAATTCCCTCAGGAAGTGACATGGTGACATTTTTGCTGAAAACTGAAGTATGAGAGGAGTCAGCCTCATGCAATCAGTGGGGTCAGGGTATCAGTGTGTCTGAAGGCAGGAGTGGGTGGTTTAAGTACAGCAAGGCAGAGTGAAGTTGAATAAAGTGAAGGAAGAGGGGACAGTGGGTGGGGTACAGCAGGAGAAGCCAGCAGGGCTTGTAGGTAATATAAGAAACTCTGGGACTTAGGGTTAAGCTCCAAGAGCATTAAAGAGAAGAGTAAAGAGTTCTGATCTCTCTGTTTTTTTAAGTTCCCCAAACAGGTGATTGGGAGAACAGACCATGGAGGCAGAGGGACTTAGGGCGGGTGAATCTAACTAAGTGGGACACAGTCCAGAGGCTCAGGGTGCAGTTGGTCCTCCTCGTACACTGCCTCCATCCCCAGCTGGCAAAATTGAGGTTTCCCTGGGCCTTGAGGAGGGCTGAGGTCTCCTGGGCTCTTGGTCTTCTCTCTTATAAATACTGATGAGCTTCAGGCTGATCCAGCAGGTAAAAAACCAGAAGCAGAGAATTAAACAGAGAGAAAAAAAAGAAAAAGGTGACAGAGAGGTGCTAGAGCAGAGAAGATACAGAAAGGTCCACCTAGAAAAGGAAACTCCAGGAGAGAAATCTGGTAAAGAGAAGAAGCAACCAAAAGGCCATCTGCTATTTGCAGAGGACTCTTGCAGGAGTCTCATTTTTTGATCAGAAACCAAAACTCAGAAACCAAAACTCAGAAAGCAAAACACACAGTCACACAACTAGTAAACGGTGGGCCCAGGATTCAAACCTAGAGCTGATTGATTCCACGTTCCTCTGCTCTTTGGGCAGGGAAGACTACAAGGCAGAAACTATGATGAGGGAGAAAGAGAACACAGGCATTAGGTAGAAAGATGAAAGAGAACATTCCACTTCACTTGAAAAAGACCACAGTCTCCTGTGATCTTTGAGAAAAGAGAAACAGGAGAAGGAAAGTCCTGGCCTGGAGTGACTGACCCAAATCTAGGGAAAGGAGACAGCACCACAGACAGGGCCAGGCCATCAGGAGATACAATTACTGTCAACTCATGGAATATGTATGACACCTACCCTGGGCCAGGCCCCTTGTTGGGTGCTGGCGTCAGGGAGATGCACCAAACATATTCCACCCTTGCCTGGAGGGGACAGGGAGCATCAATAAATAATAGCCTGGTCCCAAAGGCCATAACACCAGCCCAGAGAAAACACAAAGGCAGCAAAGGAGTTCAGGAAACATCAAAGAAATGATATCAGCACCTGAAGTTCCCCCAGTAGGCAAAGCAGGGAAGAAGACATCAGGCAGGAGCAGCTGCTGGAATAAAGGCATGACACATGAAAATGCTGGGAAAGATGAGTTTCAGGTACAGTAGGATGATAAGCTGTGAGGTCCAACAACAGGTGATAAAGACAGAGTGGAGTCAGAAGATGCAAAATGCAAAGCATCTTGAATGCAAAGCAGGGTAATTAGTCTTGAACCCTTCAATCAATGATTCTCAAAGTATGCCCCTGGGGGAATCTAGGTATTCTTCAAGCCACACTGAGTTCTGTCACTGATTGAAAACCATGGTCATATTTTTCTAATTTGCAAGAAGGCAGATTCATACAGTGAAGAGTTTTCTGGTGTTTTTCCCACGCACTTTTTCTGAAAACTGAGACATGTGGACAGTATGAGAAAATGATAGAACATAGACTCATAGTTTTGTTTACCATTTTAGGTTTAATATAAGTGTAAACTTATATTAGTTCACAGTCTTCTACAAAAAACTGTGATTTCCAGTTCTCCAAAAGTATCAGGGAGTCATGGAAGGACTTAGGCAAGGGGAAAGCAAAATCTGATGTTTGTGTTTTAAAGTAAAAATCATTCTGGAGAGCTGAGAAGAAGGAATTGGGAAGGAGAGAGAGAAGAGATCTTGGTTAGGCTATTGACACAGTTCAAATAAGAGTTGATGACCTGAACTTTAAGTGACAATTATAAGGGTGGTTCTGAGGGTTAAATCTGGCCGCCCAGGAGGAAGACCTGCTGATGATTCTCCAGGCTTCCTGGCCAGGCTGCCCAGGGAATTCAGAGGAGTCAATTTGGCAGAGAAGATAATGTCAACAGCTCAGTGTCACTAGGAAGTCTCCCAACAGAGGATTACTTTGTATCTCCCTACAGAAGTAGGCCTGTGTATGACCATGAAAATAGATAGTAAGCAGGACAAGGTATCATTCCTGTGTACAAGTGTGCGTGTGCACGCACACATATGCTCACACATGGGTAAAACCAAGTCTTTTTCCCCATCATGGTGTTATAGGACAGCCCCGATATTGAACGGTTTCCTGGCTATGGGTCCTCACCCGCGCGCTTTAAAGGGACTTAAGAATACTCTACTACAAACACACACAAAAGGTTATTAAAAGGTTTATTTACAAGAGAAAAGGAAATAAGGAAAATGTACAACTCAGGGAGAAAATAGGGAAATAAAGTCTTTAATGCGTCTTACCCAATCCGACGACCTGGAAACCCAAAGTCACTCTTAGAGCTGGCCGGACACTGCGAGCTGGCGGAGAGCCAAAATGGGGGATCCCCCCCAAAGCCCACGTGTCTGCCTTTTATATCCACCTGGCTGCTTAACCCCACCCTCAGGTCCCAGCTACCTTCCCTTTGGTGGTGATGGGATTTGGAGTTTCCAGTGTCTTTGGCTTTGACCTGGGGTGGGGGTGGAGTCCACAAAGCCTGTATGGAATTAGCTTTGGGACATCCTTTTCCCCCTAACAATGGGACACCAATTTTTTTTCTAATGAACACAAGTGCAAATGCTTTCTTAGCATATACTATGAGCCTGACCATTCCCATTTAACCTTCACAATAATTTCTAATAACATTTATCAAAAGCTTTCAAGGGCCAAGCATTGTGCTATAGTGTTTCAAGTGAGTAATATCTCACTGGATAATATCTCACCTTAAAACTTTTATTTCCTTCATTTTAAGGATAAGGAAACAGAGACACAGTGAGGTCAAGTGACTTGTCCAAAAATCAAATGGCTGGAAAATAGAGTCAAAGCCAGGTTTGCCAGAATGCAGCACCTTCATCCTTTATCCCAGGACTTTGCTTTTTTCTCTTCCTCAGAGCAAAGGTTGGGAGGCAAGCTTTGGGTCAATTAAACCCAGAGAAAGAACTCTTCCTTATCCTGAAAAGCCCTGGCTCAGTGTTTCTCAAAACCTATTCCTTGGGCCACCTGCATTAGAATATTCTTGAGAGCTTGTGAGAAATGCAGGCTCCTGGACCCCTTCCCAAGATTCTAATTCAGTAAATCTGAGATGGGAGCTCTGGTGATTTTTATGCACATTGAATACTTTGAGTCACAGGACTGGATCCAATAGCACCTCCTCCAATAGCCCCTACCCCACCCCCATCCCAGAGCACCTCTCTCCTCCAGACTCCAAAATTGTTCTCATGCTCTACCCTCCAACTGGGGTTCTGGGATTCTAGTTTTAGTTGCTTTCTCCCCTCCACTAAAAATAGATTTAAATTCTCTTCTGGGCTACATCTTTTCACAAAGCACTTCCCCCGTGCTTGTCCCACTCAGTCACCTTCTGTGAGCATTTTGAGAGGGGACTCTCCTTGTGATCCTCTCTTGTATCTGAGAACACTTGTTTTTACAACGTGCTTTCCCATCCACAATAACAGTATTCTATTGTTTCATCCAATCCTTACAACAATCTTAGAGGAGGTATATTATCCCCATTGTACCGATGAGAAAACAGACTCAGTTTCACTTTCCCAAGGTGGCCAAGCCAGGAAATGGCAAGGCTAAAATCTGATTCTAAATCTTCCAAGATTTCTAAATCCAACCCCAGTACCTTTGCCTCCACGCCAGCTACATTCACTCTACTGTAGAGGGAAGTAAATCTTGCCTTCCTTTGCTATTACAGGATGGTGGGCATTAAATGATTACGCCTGAATGTCTTAAAGGTCTTGGCACCGTGAGCACTCAGTAAATGCTAAGAAGGCGATTCGGAAGCCAGGGTAGGGTTAACGACTCCCTCCATATCAAACACCGAACCGCAGATTGTGGGCACGGCTTAAATCAGTCCCAGACGCTTCCTTTTGGGAATAAACTTTGGCGGGTTCGGAATCTCGGCAACTGCAAGTCCCTCCCACGCCCATCGCTCGCTCCAGGCTCAGCCCCCCCTCGCAGGGCGCCATGGCGCGGGCGCAGGACACAGCCCTTTGAAAGGAGCAAGGGGCGTGGTCACGCCACGGGGCGGAGCGCGGCGCGGGCGCGCGGCGCGGGCCGATGACGTATCACTGGGCGTCAGGCTTTGAGTTGACTGGAGGGAGCATGTGGGTCGGCCGCGCGCTGTGGGGGCCGCGAGCCCCAGCCCAGCTGCGACCCCGGCTGCTCCCGACTTCTGACCGCCGCGGGTCTGGCTTCGCCAACTACTCCGCTTCTGCCAAGCCCCCCCGGGTACGGGCGCTGGTCTATGGGCACCACGGAGACCCTGCCAAGGTCGTCGAGTAAGAGACGGCCCCGAATTGGGCCAAGGGGACTGGGGTTCCTGGAGGGCTTAACACGGGCTATGGAGAAGGATGGGGAAGGGAGATGCAGGGTCCGAGGAAGAAAGCGAAGAACAAGACCAAAACTGAAGCCCAGGGCGCTCTTGGTAGCTCAGAAAGTCCGTGCTTCGAGATATCTGAAAACCCAAGGCACAGTTATAATGGTAATAGTGGCTGACATTTATTGATCGAGTGCTGTGTCAGGCAGTCCTTTATTTAAATGCATGCTCCCATTTAATCATTACAGCAACCTTTTGGGGTAGGTACTTGATTTAATGTCATTTTGCCGAGGAGAAAACTGAGGGGTAAGAAGTAAAATCATCTCCAAGGTCACAGTCTGTAAGCGGCAGAATTGTATTTTAACCCAAGTCTGACCCGCTACCCAGTCTCCTCTTCTTTATCATTTTTGAGAGAGACTTTAGAGAGACTTTAGAGACTTTATGTCTATTTGGATCTTCATTTCTCAGTAAAGTAGGTCAGAGAGCATTGTTTACATTTTACAGAAGTCAAGGGATTTGTCCAAAGTAAGATAATAAGTTACTGGAACAGGGAATGGAATCTATAGCTTCTGACTCTTCTTCTCTACTCTCTATATGCTTGGGCCTTCACCTAATTTTGAACAAGCTCCTGTAGAGGAGTCATATAAACCTTAAGTTAAAATATAGGCTCAGCATGTCACACGGCCCCTCTAAGCCTTTATTATTTTTATGATTATTTCCTCCTAACATCCTGCTGGATCGTAAATCTGTGACTTTTGCATGTGGCTAATAAAAACACTGTGAATTGTCAACCATTATGAATCCGCATATGAGTGATGATAGCCATTCAAAAGGCTAGGAGGGTCATGATAGTGGAGCTAAGACAAAAGCACTGGTCTGGAAATCAGAAGCCCTAAGGTCGGATCCCTTGCCCTACCCTGTTCTGACTGTGTTTGGCAAGTGACTGAGGTTCTCTAAGTCTTGGTTTCATGATCTTTAAAAATGGAGACTATGCAGTCAGAGCTTATAGTGCTAATCAACTGAGAGGTCTCATGCTCCCCACCCAAAAGTACCTGCATAACTCTCCTGCAGTCCCTGGTTTACAACTATTTGATTTCCAGCAAATGGGTTTGTTTTCCAAAAGATAGACAGACAATTATTTTCATGGCTAGAATACAAAGTAGAGTGCGCACTTTGGCAGCACATGTACTAAAATTGAAATGGTACAGAGGAGATTAGCATGTCCCTGCACAAGAATAACACATATATTTGTAAAGCATTCCATATTTTTACTTTATAAAAAAAGTAAACAAGCTAGATGTTTTGACAGCTGGAGGGGATAAGCCTCAGATAAATTCAGGGTCTTCCACTCAGCCTAGCCATATCTACCATTAGAGGAATGGAAAAGAATATTGGAGGAACACATCAGTCAATAAATTCCAAATTGTATGTTGATCATAGGTAATAAATCACCATGTCCAGAAGACATCTCCCTGAGGCTGTGGTGTATTGAGTTGGTAAAGCTCTGGTGAACACTCCTTTTCCAGGAATACACCCCAAATTGGAACAATGTCTTGCTTCTCTCACAGGCTTGTAATTTATGTGTCTGGTGCAGGACCTGCCACAAAACAGGTACTTCAAAAGTGTTAGTTAAATCTGATTCTAATTTCAGCAAGAAGGACACCTTTTTATAAGTTCTGTGGTAATAAAGAAAGCATCTTCCATGTTCCAGGACCCTGAAGAAAGGCCTAGGAAGGTTAGACAGCTGAGTATAGTCACTTCCTGGTTGGTTCCCTCCTGTTGGAGAGCCAGGGAAGTTGGAACAGACTGGTCTGCTTATACATGCCCCTAAGGAAAAAAAGGACAGCTTCTTTTGTCTCCTGTGGAACCCTAGTAACTTCCCAGGAGTTCAAAACATGATTCCTCCATGAATCATTGAATCTTAGCTGCGCATCTCAGTCACCCATGCCATTTTACTACATATTCTTAGCTGCCACCCCTGAGGTAATTTGGAGGTCTAGGATGGTCCTAAACATCATTTTAAAAATCTTGTGGGGGCCTCCCTAGTGGGGCAAGGGGTTAAGCACCGCACTATGAAGCAAACCGCAGCCTCTGCAGCACGAGTTCAATCCCCAGCCAGCCAGGGAGCAACCCACATGGCCAAGCAGAACCTCTCCTATGTCGCCCGCTGCTCCCCTCAACTATGTGTTTCGGTCAGTCTGCCTGTTCTATTCCCTACTCTGTCTCTGGTGAGTAATCTCACCACCACCACCCCGCCCCCACCCCGCCACATCTCTGGCCTGTACCCCAGCTCCTGTATGCATAGATAAATAAATCTTAAAAAATCTCCTTGTGGGCATCCCTGGTGGTGCCAGGAGTTAAGTCTCAGCACTATGAAGTTACTGGCAGCCACTGCAGCAGCAGTTCGATCCCTGACCAGGGAGCTACCCACATGGCACAGCAGACCTCTCCTGTCTCGCCCGCTGCTCCCCTCAGCAGTGTATTTCAATAGATCTGCCTGTTCTACTCCCCAATCTGCCTCTGGTGAATCCCCCCACCACCCCCGCCCCACACCTCTGGCCTACACCCCAGCTCTTGTATGCATAAATAAATTTTAAAAATCTTAAAAAAAAAAAACCTCCCTGTGATATCCAGGCCAGGTTGAAAGCCAGTACACTGGGGATATGGATTGGCAGTAATTCTCCCTCTGTTACAGAAAGGCCCTGAGCAAAGGCCTGGGTAGGTTAGGCAGCTGAGTATAGCTGACCCAGATTCAGGCAACCTGACTTGTTAGTATGGACTGAGGCCAGAGGCTGGGATTCTCTTCTTTGTAGTCATGTTTTAGGAGGTTTAGGGTAACCACACTGTCACAGAAAGAGTCAGGTGTCCTTTAAACATCCCGGTGACTGGGTATGTAGGTCAGGTTACACGAGGTAGAGTCATGGAACTACCCAGAGTTTAGGCAAAGTGCACCCTAAACTGGCATGATGTGGGACATTTGCACTGTAGGCCAGAGCTCTGCAAGCAGGAGGGTATGAATAAGGAACAGCCTGCACAGGACTGAGGGGCTGCAAAACTCCTCAGAGTGAGGCCTCCAGGGATCTCCTAGTACATCATTCTGAATGTCTTTCTCCAAATGTTTTAGCTATTGTCTCCAAAGCTTTTTTCTTTGGTCTCTTAAGAATATCTCTGCCCCAAAACACACTTCCCTGAATAAGTACTTGGGCCTTTTTCATTTAAAGGATTTACCACCAGATGTAAATGAAGTCAGGCTGTGCAGGAGAAAAATGACAAACCTGGGAGAGTTATAGACGTTCTAGAAATTTCAGAGGTTCCTGTGGCCATTGCCTTTGTTCAGGATTCTCTATCAGCTATTTCCCAGAAACTTCAATGGCCTTCTCTTTCCTTTTCCTGCTGAACGTCCCCTTTCAGAACTTTGCCATGTTCTGAGTCTTATGGTAAAACAGCTCTCATCTATTCTGTGCCTAGTATGTGGCAAGCATTGGACCAAGTTCTCCACATATATCATGGAATTTAAAAATCACAATAACCAAGTTTGGTCATTGTTATCCCCATATTACAGATAGGGAAACTGAGACTTAAGAAACTTGAAAATCACGTGTCCAAAATCTAGGGTACAACTAGGATCCCTTCTTCATTAGAATTTCTTGATAATAGACATAGACCTGAAGATACAATGGCAATTACCTCAAATGTTTTTTGAGAATGAAATGGAGTATAAAATTGGGACTAAGATAGGTCAGGAGAGAAAATTGAAATTATAGGATTCAGGTGACCACAAATCTCTACTCTTCATAGAAAGGGAAGCTCACAAGCTGGCAGGAATGTTATCCTCGGTCTCCTCTACTGCTCAGGACCCTGATGCCTTCATAAAACAGCATCCTGGTCATCAAGGCTTTCTGACCTGCCTGCTATTAGCATGAGATGAAACAAAACTGCAAAACCCTTGGTCACATCCATTCTGTCTCACCAGATGGAATTCGAGGGGCAGGTGGTAAGGACCCAGGCTATGTAGGTAGTAAGTTCTCACTGTGAGATACTGTTTACTCTCAAGAGATTTCGTCTCTTTACAGTTGATGATAGGTTTAAAACCTACACTATGCAGGTGACTTGGTTTTTAAACCAGAATCCAGCAACCTCCAAGGAGCCTCAGTATGGCTAGAAAGCTGGGGTTCTGGGCACAAGATTTCACCCTGAGTACCCTCTGCTCTGGGGAGGTTACACAGCCCATAGCCCCCTCCCCTTTTAGCCTCCAACTGGACAGGGGCTACTGGTCATCTTGGTACCTGTCAGAGACCAAAGCAGCTGCAGGCAGGGAGTCTGCCCCCTGCAGTGACCCTGTCTTACTCTCTGCAGAAACTAGGACAATTAGCTCTCAGCAGACTAAACCATAGATACTCTAACTTCCTTGGAACAAGTTTCCCGGTGTCTGCAGATGTGGAGTATTATGGGGATTGCAAGCTTTCTGACAATCTTAGCTGAAAAGAGTAAAGGACTAAGAAAGGAGCCATAAGGAAGGGTTTATTTGCTAACCACCAGGGCAGAAACTCCAGAAGTTGCCCTAAGTCTTTGATTCCCTTTAGTTAAATATGAATGTGCTAAAGAGCAAAAAGCCCTGAATGGTGGGAGAGCAAGATTACTTCAAGGCAGAGAAGCTGAAAGAGGCACAGGTTGACGGCAAGTATGTATGCCTGACATACCCAGAGACGTGAAACTGAGCTTTGCTCAGGAAAAGGTGCCCAGGGAATTCTAGAACCACGCCAGTTGAGGCTGCCAACACCCCCTGCTGGGGGACAAGCTGTTACAAGCTGTGGGTTGCAGGACGTCATCCCCCCCCACAATTTCCCATTTGTGCCCTGGATAGTAATTATTAAATCAAATCCCAGAACAATGTACCCAGCATGCCAGGCATTTCACTAAGTCACAGAATGTGACTTGTTTGTGACCATGGGGATTGCAGACAATCTGGGGAGAGCCATGTAAGATGTTACCTTCCTTTAGTGCCCTATGATGGGACACACATTCCTGGCTCTATAAAGAGCAGATGAGGGGCCTCCCTGGTGGCACAGTGGTTGAGTGCTGGGCTGTGAAGCTGCCCGCAGCCTCTGCAGCACCAGTTCGATCCCCAGCCGCCGGTGAGGGTCCCACATGGTGCGCAGACCTCTCCTGACTCGCCCACTGCTCCCCTCAGCAGTGTATTTCGTCAGTCTGCCTGTTCTGCTCCCTGCTCTGGCTCTGGTGAATTCTCTCACTCTCCTGCGCTTCTAACTGTACCCAGTGCTTGTATAAATAAATCTTAAAAAAAAAAAAAAAGCAGATCAGAAAGTCCCTTTGCCCGTTCTTCCTGCTCAAAATTATATTGGCCCATTTGAGGTAACTGAGTGGAAGATGCAAGATAAGTACAAATGGTTGCTAATTAAATGCAGAAGGCGGGGAAGAGATCTTAGTAGAACTGGCAAGTACCCGCCTTACACAGCACATATAACTGAGCCAGTCCCCAGAGTACTGGCCTCTTTTTGCCTCTCTCAAAAGGCTCTTTCTTCTGCCTGCTTTTGTCTCCCTTGTAGTTCATATGGCATCACAGGTGTACAGCCTCAGCCTCAAAGGAGCCATTGTGACCTTATCCAGTCTGGGATCTGTCGAGTGAAGACAGTGGCATCCCTCCGAGTTGTATGGCGCCGTCACACTCACAGGGGAAGGCCCTGAACGGTCTTGGGAAAGTGACTTTAGATCTAGCCAGGCTGTGTTTGGGTGCCTCATTTGCACTCTGTTACATAGTTACCGGTTCCTTTGGTGAGTTAAAACAGGGAAGAAATTGCTGTCATTACGCCAAAGGTCCAACTCCAGGAATTCAGACTTGTTTTCCTATCTCAGCAGAATGGTATCCTTGACGACGCTGTTAGAACTGTGGCAGGAACAGCAGTGTCTGTGGTATTGATGGCATTCCACGGGGCAGGCTGGGGCAGGTCTCCCTGGTGAGACGCGCAGCTGGACCAACTCACCTCCCCCTGGGTGAGCAGCTTGCATAAGGGCCCTGCACCCTCACCCACCTGTGTTTGCAGCTTCAGCTTTCCAGCTCCTGGACCCTTGTCTCCACCCCACTCTCCTTCCCACTTCTGTGAATTTCAACCAGCACAGAGCAGCAAGGGTCCTCAGAACAAAGAAGAGAACTGGGAAGCCAGTGCAGCACTTCTCAAACTGCTGTTTGAGGACAGACATGATGAAAGAAAAGTGTTGCCCACTCAATTAATTCTGGCAGCTCTAGATTCC